TGAATGCTAATGTACACTGGGGACAGCCAAAGGGCAACAGACAACTCTAGCAGCAAAGCCCTGGTGACCTAGGGCTGTGCAAGCTCATGGGCAAGGCTTTAAACATTTGTGCACAGAGGTCACACTTCCCTTGCTAAAACTCTTCCTAGTCTATATGATAGGACATATCAGGGTTTCAGTGTCCCTTCAAAGGGCTGCAGAAACGGACGCCTTGTAGGGGCATGTGCTCTGCCATCAGCCAGGCTCCTTCACCTGCCCAGACGCTCTGTGCCTCCCCGCGTCCACACCAGCACAGCCGCCCTGTACGGAGGCTCAGCCTGCAGCCTGGTGGCCTCAGTGGCTTCAGGAAGACTGCCAGGGCTCAACGGGGCTTGACATGTCCCTCCTTTCAGCAACTCCTGGCTCTTACTTAGTTTTAAATTAAATAAAAATTGCAGCACATGGGTTTGAATTAAAACAAGGGGTCTGATCTTTGTACCAGGCATTATGTCAGTGGGAAAGCTAATTTGTGAGAAGCGCATCTCCTTCAACTTAAACCACATAGCTCTGCCTCTTGGTTCCAAAGGAGGGAGAGCCGGGGGAGAGCAGCTCTCGGGCATCAGCAGGGCCGTGCTCCGGAGAAGTCTCAGGGGAGCTTAGCGTCACTGAAGTCCTTAGTGTTGGGTGTCACATGATACATAGGAGCAGTTCTGACCTCCTGGCCTTGAATCTAAAAAGGTCTTAAAAATTCCCAGGGTAATCTTCCCCAATTGACTCTTGACTGCAGCCTCGCTCCCCAAACCAGAACTGGCATTGCTAACAGCTTCCGAAGACAGAAGACAGACACAACTACTCCTGGTCCCACACCGTTCCTCGTGTTCAGATCCTAAGGCCGTGTGCATGCATGTGTATGTGCACGTGTGTGTGCATGCGTGTGTGTGCATGCATGTGCTTGTATCTGTGTGCGTGTGTGTACAAGCGTGTGCGTGTGTGTACAAGCGTGTGTGTAGATTACTGTGCAACAAGAATTAGGTAGGGTCTGTGCTAGGTGAGAAATTCAATCTGGGCCCCAACAGTTGCTTCACTCAGTTTAATTCACTCTGGAGGCAAAAGGCAGAGGTGGCGGGGGTGGAGTGGGAGCCTCCATGAACTATGTGAGCTTTACTCAGAACACTGCTGCACCACAGCCCCCCATGGAGCTGGGCCCTAGTCCCAGTGCCACTGCAGGCCCTGCTCATGGCGAGGAGGTGAGTTACCAGCAGCTGGAGTCCTTGGTCAACTTTCACCTCTGGGTACATCCAGATTTGGAGACTGATCTGATTCAGGTTTTGTGGGGCCTGAGAAACTTACACATTTTGGGGACACGATTAAAGAAAAATAGTACAAAAATATCTCTTACAACAACTGTACATACCACAGAACACACTGCTAGCGTCCTGGAGGGGCTTGTGTAGTGAGGGAGCCTGGGGCTTAAGCTTTGTTAACTTTACAAGTGAATCTTGTGCTTGGAAGCACAGCCAGCTCTCCTGCCCAGTGCGCAAAAGACGTGCATTAGGTGAGGGGAAAGATGGTGGACAAGGGATCATGAAATGGTAGGTGTCACCGACTACGACAGAAAGCTCTGGGCTTATCTGACTGGCTGCTGACCCGCTGTGGCACAGGGTCCTGGGGAACCGAGCCCAGCTGAAGCCCAGCTGCTGCTGGGCGCAGGCCTGTCGAGGGAAGGCCTGCATCTCTGTCTTCATGCACCCGAGTGCCTACCCAGGAGAGGGTGTTGATGAGTGTCTGCTGAATGGACAGCTGATGACCGGGAAGGAGCGAGTGTGGAAGTAAGTTCATGCTCTCATTTTAGATGGCAGTTCATTGTTCTTTACCTTACTCCAAAGGATTCTGGGAGTGGTTTGAGCTATGCACAGAAAGGCTCCACCTGAATTTATTAGTGAAGCATCCAATACTTTCAACAATAAAGATAAACTAAAAATAAATAAATAAATTATTAGTGAGGCATGGGCGACTAGATGCTGCTGCAGGACTACCAAAGCCACCCTTCTTATTGGATGACCAAGACCACCCTGCACATAATTAAGAACATTGGGCTATATTAATATATTATAAAGCACACATTCGTTAAGGGTTCCGGCTTTTTTTTTGAGTTTCAGCAGGGGTTGTGCTCACTCGCCCAGAGCAGGCTGGACACTGCTCCTTACCTCCCCTCCTCTATTTACTTTACCTGAAGTTGACCTTTTAAATTCTCTTTCCTGGCAAATCTATTTAAAACCGTAGGCCCTAAGTGAGGTATAGCGTATCAGAATTCATGCTGAAAACCAAAGCTGACCCTGGAGCTTTCTCTTTTGAAGAAATATATTGCTTTGCCTGTGGTGACCTCTCACCTGAGGCGTCCTGCACTCTGGTGGGGTCTGAGGTGCAGTTAACACCAGCATCAGAGGCTAGAAGGGGGGTTGCCATGGGTTTGGTTTGTTTTGAACTACACAGGGGTTAGGTTTGCATGAGGGACATGTTAGACACGCTGGGACCGGTCTGGGTTAGAAAGGGCATGGTTTTGATTTAACTTTTGTAATCATGACCTGGAGGGTAAATCTGAAGTAGTGTTATGTGGAGGAGGGACTCTAAGTTCAAAGTAAAGGAGTTTGGGTTCAAGTCTCAGTTTCATCTCTAGTTCATCTTGAGATTGTCAGCAAGATATCCAACCTCCTCATCTCTCTCACTCTCCCGTCTCTCCCCCTCCTCTCCCGCCCCGCAGTCTGCAAAAGAGACCAACATGCCTGTCCTAGTCCTACTCTGCCCTGGCTGGGAGTCTCAACACACTGCTCAGGAAAGGCCTTAGAAAGGTGTAGAGTGACTTTCAAGTTGAGCATCTACGATCCCATTACATAGCCAAATAACATTGTAATCTTCTCATTTTAAAGCTAAGAAGACAGTTTTTAGTGGAAAATTCAATGTTCTTTCCACCATATGAGGGAATATCATCGATATTAACTTGTAATAAAAACAGGAAGTAAGCCAATCTCTTTATTGTTCAGATTCATTTCAATGTGAACAAAAGTCCAGTCATTTTTGCCCAAGATGACACTGAACTTTGAGGTTAAACTGCTAAACCACTAGCAGTAAGTGACTGGGTGGCTGGCAGATGACATGGATGCTCAAGGGGGAAGACAGCAGGTATCCTACTCTGGACGTTATAGTTATATGTGTATAGGTGCCCTGAAATATTGGCATGATGGTATTTTTAAAGACAGGAGTAACTGATTGGCATTCCCTGAATTAAACCAGTAATGCCAACCCCATTAAAGGTGATGCTTTAGAACAGGGCCAGAGAATAAATATTTCAGATCTTGTGGACCATATGGTTTCTGCTGCAACAGCTCACACTGACCTTGTAGTGCGAAGGCAGCCACCGACACTATGTTAAAAAAGGGGGGATCTAGCTGTGTTCCAGGGTTATCTACAAAATTGGCAGGGGCTAGATTTGGTTCAAAGGCCATAGTCTGCTGACTTTCTGCTTTAGAATATCATAAAGATACCACCAAATTCAGGGCCTCTTCACGTCTCCCGGTCCTGCACACCGTATAGTTGGCCTCGGTCTTTAATGCAGCCCGATTCTACAGCTGAGCAAATGTAGGTGCCAACCCCTGGAGAAGCCATCAAGCCAGGCGGCCGTTAGGGCAGACACTTCAGCTCCCCATGTAGCCACCGAAAACCCACACTTTCCTCCAAGTCTTCTTTGTAAAATAAAACATTGGTTAAATGCAATATCCAAGTTTTAAAAATAAGCCAGTGTTCTCCAGAGACAACTACCGATGTCCCGATGGGAAAGAAGGGAGAGAGCTTTCCAACCCCTAGAAACGCTTTGTGAAAAAGCAGCCCAGCGCTGACTTCCGCGGGCCGGTGATCACATTTGCCGCCTGCTTTCCCATAATCTGTCAGCTCGTTACCTAATCATTGCTGCTCCAGTCAGAGGCCACCTGCGGCCCGGCGACCCCGCCTGGCTCCTCCCTCACTCGCAGGGAGGCGCCGCCAGAGGCCGGGAGGGCGGGGTTTAACTCGAACCCGGGCCTGCACCCTACTAAACAACAGCCCCAAGCTGCCACCCTCTGCTGTGTGGAACAGGCGAGAAGGAGCTGAAGGTGAAACAAGCCCTTTATTCCTAGTACTACTTCTAAAAGTGCCAGCTTGGGAGCACTTTGTTGGGCTTAGAGGGGAGTCTCACAGACCGGAGCTCAGGAGCTCGTGTCCTCGGCCACGTGAGTGTGATGTAAGTGTAAACACACCTAGAAGGCTTGTAAGGGGAAAGGGGAAAGGTCTCAGAACAGGGAAGACTAACGGTCGGAAAACTGATTGAACAGAAAGAAACCTCAATCCCCAGAGTAGTTCAGGGTCAGCAAACTCATCTGGTTTATTTCCTTTTGGAAAAGGGAGCCTTCAGGTTTGGTTTAAGCAAGTAGCACATGCGCCTCTTGATTGCAGAGGCCTTGTCAGCTCGCACACGGCTGCTGGAACTGCTCTGGCACCTGGCGAGTGCCGCTGAGGACTTGTTTCCTCAGCACCGGGGCATGCTCAGATAGGGTCTGCTTTGCACTGACTGTGAGGAGCTCCTGGGCCCAGCATAGGGGAGGCCAGGGGTTCTGAGGAGAGGAGCTTTCGCATCAGACAAGGACGGTGTTATTGTCAGAGGACTTGCCTCGAGGATGCAATTTATGAAAAGATCATGCAAATTCCCCAAAATGAAAACTGGTCGGGAGAAAGTCCAATACCTATTCTGGGCCATTTCCTGGCAGATGCTGTACCTTGAGGCCATCCCAACAAGATTTCCTTTAATTTCATTTTTTTTTCTGGAAAGAAAAATCCCTCTGTTGCTCATAGCTTAAGAAGTGTGGGTGTGGTGCTGGCTACAGCGGGTAAATGGGAGCCACGCTTCCCCCGAGGTCTCTGCCTGTCCTGGGGCCTTCCGCGTGGGGCTGGGAGAGAGAGCAGCAGCGCAGGCGCCTCCGGGGCTCACGTACCTGAGAACATCATCATGTGCTGGAAGTTCCAGGGGATCTTCTGCTTTCGGCCCAGATTCAGGAGGAAGGAGAGGGGATATATGTTGCAGGCTCTGGCAACAAAAATGGCCAGCTGTCGGCAAGCACAGGGAAGCATTGAGGAAAACATTGCTGCGATGAGGGTGTGAGTCCTTGAGCTTTAAGTGTGCTGTCCTTCAGCTTTTCTATTTTATGGCCCAGACAACATGTCAGTAGATGTATGTCCAACTTGCTTCCAAAATTCATCTTTCAATGCCAATTCCTTTCCAGAAATAATAGAGAATGCTGTGTTTCTTTGAATAGATTTGGTTTACAGTTGTTAACCCAATACCATTTCAATCGCTGTGAATTCTCTCATCACATTTACATTGCTGATGGCTGACTTTATACTCAATTCTGCTGCCAAACGGAGGCAGAGAGCGTGCGGGGCTGTGGCGTCATCTTCTCGAGCAGGGCTCAGAAAAGATAGGTGCACCTCAGCCCTGATCACCACCCCACTTCCCATCAGTCTGTACGCCCTGGATCCAGCAGGCTTCACTGATATTTTTTCTTTTGGTGAACTTAATTTTGAGAGGAATTGCCTATCTACACAAGTAAGGTTTTAAGAGGTGTTTTACTAAATTCAAACTTTGTAAGTTAGAATCTATGAAAATATTGGAGGCAGCCATCTCTCCCTTTGTCATCTCGGACCCCTCCCTGACAGTCTGCCTGTTCTGGTTCACCCTCAGATCTGATGGAGCTATTTGGCAAGAGGAGCTTCCATCTAAGACCCACGTTTTGGATGAAATTTGTGGGTTGAGCTGAGTGCTCAGCGAACAGAGAGCAGGAGGCAGGTGCTTGGTGAGAACAGGGTTCTGACAAAGCGTTTTGACTCTGGCTGTAAGGCCATCTACCTGTGATCTGAGGGGACATGTGTCCATTTTCCAAGTGGAAAGGAGGACAACAGCTGCTGACTGTCCTTGGGGACGTCTCCCATGCTTGGTATCCTTTTGTTCAGATATCCATTCCCACTGGGAAGCCTGCACGCCAGGCCTCGTGCTAGAAAAGTCCTCTGCACTGAAAATGAGGTCTAGATTTTCTGTTATTTTGTATATAAGAAAGGGTTACCTTATTAAAATAAACTTACATGTGCCCAATTATTAAGATATTGAAAACATATCCACTGTGCTAATTTCATTTGGTCTTTAATCAGCATGTCCTATTTTCAAAGTCCTTACTGAAAAAATTTTACCATCTTATAATGAAAATATTTCTAGAGCTTAGTAGTCTCGCTGTCTTCTGATCATGATAATGAATGGGTTGGGTTGACATTTTTATGCAAATGATTCATAATTTTAAACATATTTTGGATATTCAAAAAAGTCACTCTCCTCTAGTTTTCCCTTTCCCCCCAGGATCTACCCAAGTTCTCCCGCTGAACCGTAAGCATTTATTAAAGGCCCCAGTTTCTTAGGACTTTTTCTCCCCTAACTAGAAATTCTGTATCTGCCTTAAATTTGAGCCGTGCCGTAAACCTGGGGAAATTACTGTAACAATTTAACAGCATAATCAGTGAGAGCACAGAGCCGGTTCTCTCTCACCAGCCCCGGTCTGCATTTCCAAGGATACGAAGGTTCCGAGTATGAAGAGACCACTGAAGATGTGGTTCTGGAACGTGAACAAGGCCAGGCCCATGTAGCAGAAGATGACGTTCTCAGCCAGGAAGTTCATAAATTCAAACAACTGGAAACGAAACAGAGACCAAAATCATCAGTTACGACTGGGGTTTGAGTCCACTTAATAACCTGTAGGTGTGTTTGCTGACTGATGGCTCCCTGTATCCGCGAGGGCTGTCCCTTCGGCCTTGCGCTGAGCTCCTGCAGGGCGCGGGGGGCCCTGCCCGTCCTGTCGGGAGAGCTGGCCCCCCTGTGGCTCTGCCCGGGGCCGGACGCCAAGCCAGATCCACGTCCCATCCTTCTTTCCAGCTGCAAGGCGGCCAGAGAGTCCCCTGGGCCATCTTAACCAGCGTGTACCCTCCATGGGACAATTCCTACTGGGATGACAGACTATTCCATCGAGAAACTGAAGCTACGTGCTTTGCTTAAGGCGGACGGTAGCAAACCACGCAGAGATGGTTTGGATCCCCCGCAGGCGGCTAGGGGGTGCCCTTGGGTTCTCAGAACCTGAGGAAACCTGCAGCTCAGTCACTGTCCGCAGGCAGGTGGGAGGGACCGACTTGGAAACTAGGAAGAGGGTGAATGTCGCCAGTCCTTCAACACTGGAACGACCAGCGCATTGTAAACTTCAGACAACGAGACTCACTAAATTGACTGACGTAGCTATGTCCACTAAGCGCCTCCAGTTTCTGGCTGGAGACGAACACGCTGAAGCCCGGGGATCAGCTCACGCGGCAAGGACACGCCAGGTGCTCCCGCTCAGGGGGCCGGGTGACAGCGTCCGTGCCGGGGAGTGCCCCCAGGCTTATCCCGGGACCTCTAACTAAATGATTTAGGTTGAACCTGGACAGCACCCCCCAGGGCCTGTGCGCGCTGAGGGGGTCAAACCCCGGACCCTGGCGCATCAGCAGGAGGCCTGGCCAGCTGCTCGCGGCCGGGCCCTCAGGCAGCAGCTAGCCCAGCGCTCGCAGCTCGGGGTTTGAAAGGAGAACGTTGCCAGCGCCCAGGGACCCTGCGCCCTTCCCACGGCCGCCTGCCCGCCCGAGGCAGCCACAGGCCGTCAGCCCCTCGACATCACACGTCAGCGCCCCCCGCTTCCCAGTTTCACGTGAATGGGACCCAGCCCTGCGCACCGACTCGCATTCCCACCTTTCGCTCGGCACTGTTTGTGAACTCCTCCCCTTTGTGCGTAGAAGCAGCTTGTTTCCTGAGCGTGGACGTGTCACAGTTTGTTTACCGTCCCCTTTATGGACAGGCGCGGTGCGCAGCCGGCCGTGGGGAACTCTGCTCTGGGAGCAGCTCGCGTTCCCAGTCCCCGGGGAGCCCAGGGGAGCCCCGAGGCTTCTGAGGCCCGGGCGGCCTCCCGACGGCGGCCTGGTTGGTGCCCGTCGTCAGCACGTGGTGTGGCTGCTGGTTCTCAGCCACACTCTGTCTCTTGACATTGCCACTGGGACCTAGGAACCGGTTTGTTCATTTGCAAAAAATATCAATGACTGGCGTTTTAGCAGGAACTGCATTGGCTGTACAGGTGATCTGGGGAGCGTGCGCGTCTTTACAGCATGGAATACACAAACATCATGCTATTATGACTTTTTTATTTTTTTATGTATCTCGGTAATTTCTTTATGAAGATCTTTTGTTAGATTTATTCTTAGATATTTGATGGTTTTTGTTGCTATTGTAAATGGCACCCTTTTCAAAGTTTCTTTTCTAGCTGTTTGTTGCTAGATACACGTATGCAATTGATTTTTTATTAATCTTGTATTCAGGACCTTACTAAATTTATTGAATAATTCTTATAGTTAATTGATAGATTGTTTCGGATTTTCACAATCATGTTTTTTCCAAGTAAGGATAGCTTTGCTTTTCCCTTTCCGTGTCGTCTCTCCCACGTGTCAGGCCTCTGGCACGGTGCGCACAGCGCAGGGCGGGGGGGTGACGGCTTCTTTGTCTTACTCCCAGTCTCATGCTGAAAACTTTCAGTATTTCTCTACTGTACTTGTAGAAACTCTTACAGATTAACAATGTACTTTCTAATCCTTTTTTAAAAATGGATTTAATGTTCTAATATTGTGTTTAGTATTTTTGCGTCTCTATGACAAAAGACCGGCTTATAATTGTCCTTTCTTGTAAAGACTTTACCAGGTTGTATTGTTAAAGTTACTGATGGTTCACAAAGCAGGTTTCTATTCTCTTCCTTAAATGTTTAGAAGAATCCTGGGCCTTGGTCGGGTAGCTCAGATGGTTAGAGTGTCGTCCCGATACTCCAAGGTTGCAGGTTCGATGCCCTGTGAGGGCACATACAAGAATCAACCAATGATGCATAAATAAGTGGAACAGCAAATTAATGTTTCTCCCTCTCTCTCAAATCAATAAAAAATTTTAGAATAATTCTGGGCTTGGAGTTCTTTTAATAAAATATTTTTAACTACACATACCTTTATGCTAATGGATATGGCATTGTCAGAGTTTCTATTCATTTCTGTATTAGTCTTAGTCAGTTGTGTTTGTCCTTCCATCTAAATTTCCTCATTTACTGGCATAAAGCTGTTCGTAAACCTCCATTCTCTTTGTGTCTGTGTTTACATCCCCTCCCAATACTGGTAATGTGTGTGTTTTCCTTCTGATAAATCTTGTTGGGGAGCTATTAATTTTATGAGTGTTTCCATGAGGCAGCTTTGGTTTTGTTGATTTTTCTACGCTGTACTCTTTTCTCCACATTTCATTAATTTCTCTACTCTCTTTATTATTTCCTGCCTTCCGCATACTTCAGCTTTAATTTGTTTTCATTTAGTCTCTCGGTCCTGCGAGTCCTGGGTGCCGTGGCGGCTTTGTCCGTTCCTTTGGGCGCCTGCTTCTCTGTGCTTCGCGCGGCCTTTCTGGTTGCTCCCTGAGGAGAGCGGCTCTGGCGGCCGCCATCCCTCCCAGCTGCCTTTTCTTGCTACTTACTCGGCTGGGTGAAGAGTCATTTTGGTCAGTTTCCCACCCAGAGCTTTATGCATATCAATTTAGAGAGAAATAACAGTTTTATAATATCATTGGGGGAAAAGATAAATTATTCAAAAGGTTACAGGAAAAGTTGCCTAATTTGGGAAAAAAATCGCCAAAACTAAAGTTGGATTCCTAACTTACTCCTTATATCCAAATAAATTCCAGAAGAATCAAGAGTGGAAATGAAAAACAAAACACCACAATTTTGTATAATATTTTCAATCAGGAAATTTTATAAGAATTGTTTGTATTAGCAAAAACCTAGAGACAAATACCCATAATGTAAGAAATAGTTAAATCGATACGATGCAATCATATAATAGAATACATTTTACAGAATTCTATATGGATTGATAAAGGTATCTAGTATCTATTGTTAAATAATAAAAAGTAAGTTAAAGAAATAAAGGGTATGTTTGTGTATGTATGAATCCATCACGTGCAGTAACATATACAGGCAACGTTCACTTCACTTTATGGACATTTGACATCTGTATTATTATTATTATTATTATTTCTTTTTACTATAAACTTGTGTTACTTTCATAGTTAAAAATACTAGATTAAATTAAAACAAAAGTTTTAAAGTAGAATACAAATTTTTCCAAGTGTTTTCCTCCTTTGGCCTTGCTCAAGCAGGAAGTTATCACCCATTCTTACCTATTCTAATTTCTTTCTTATTTTCTTTAAAAATGTTTTTTGAGTGCAGAAAAACACAAACAGCAACAATGAAAGTACTTATCTTTTTGTGAGACATTTTTAAAAATGATTTATAGATCAGAAGATGGATAGGCAACTTGCGTAATGTTACATAAACCTGACCATATTTTTATATAACTTATTTTATTAACTTAATATTTTTCAGTCTCTTTCCTTGGCAAAAAGTTTGAATGGATTAAAAAATATTTAATGTCAGCACAATAACCCCTTGTATCTTCCTACCAAATTTTATTTCACTGTTACCCATTACTATACGTTTGTTTTTGCCCAGATCTCTCCCCTTATAAACAATGCTGCATTGAGCATCTCTATACAATTCTCTCTCCCCATTTGAGCAATTCCTCCTTAAATAAAATTCTTAGACACGGGCTACTTCTGTCAAAGTATATACATTAAATTTTCTTTTTCAACATACTAATGTTATCATCATAATCAGCTAGTTACTAATATTAATAAACGAAGAGAGCAAAGGGAGAGCCAGGCATTGCCGAGCATACTCAGTGGGAAGCACAGCCTGTTTGTTTCACCAGGAAACTGCAGCTTCATGTTCCCCAGGGAACCCCTGGCCCACTCCCTACAGATCACTGGGGGAAGGGGACAGACACAGGGGGAGATGGCGCTTGCACAGAGAAGTCAGGGTGACGTAGGGAAGGGGCCTGCCTGCGAGTCTAGCCCGAGGAACAGTGGATAGGCTAGGGGGTCGACCCCATCAGAAGCAGCGATCTCGGAAAGTCAGTTGGTTAGTTTGAAGCAGCTGTTGGCTTAGTTCCCCAGACGGAGTCCCTGTGGGCTGGGCCTCGCTCTCTTGCTCTGTGATGTGCACTTGCCCTTGGGCTTGCCTGGTCTCTCTCCATAGGCATGTGGCCTTAAGCAGCTGCGTGGCCCAGGGCCATGCGGACTCTACACGCAGGATGGTGGACTGCACTGTACTTTAAATGGAGCTGGGACTATGGGCAGTGGCCTTAATTCTGGCCCTGCTGAAGACAAGATTGGGCGTCTTCCATGGCAAGATGGACAGAGATGGGACCTCACAGGGGAACTCCCGTTAACTTTACATCATCAATAAAGCTTTCCACAAAACCCCATCCTCTGGTGGGGGCCTCAGGAAATTATTTTCCTCATGGCACCCCAAGAACGCCATTTCCACTGCTAACCCTACCAGTCTGCACTTCAGAAAGAATACACCAATTGCACCTGTAAGAACAGTGCAGAGGGTGCCCTTTTCCCCACACTCTTGCCAGAACTAGCTTTTGTCAATTTTTAAACACCTCCGACAAACTGATAGGCTCACTTATTGTAAGTTGTAGATGGTTGTCAGTATTAAAGAAGGTTCCCCTCATAAGCACGTAGCAGCAC